CACGCGGAAGGAAGCGATTGTGAACTACTTGAGACACTACCCCGGGAATTGCCTAAAGTGACCTAGGAAAACCATGTAAAAACATAATATCAGGCAGTCTTCAGCGCAAATTTAGAAATTAGGTCCTCTTGATTAAGGAGCGGTGTTAATTTGTTACAAATCCTGCAGTCAAAAAAACTTCATGAAGAAACGCTTGGATTTGAAAATAGAATGAAGTCTATAACGTGGCCTGTGTTAAGTTGCTGCTGTTTGCCTAATTTACAAACAAGATGACTCTGATTTAAAAAAATAAAGTAAAGAAATACAATGCGAATCAAAACACGCATTATATTGTAGTTCTGTGGCAAAAATAACTCGGTGTAACAATATTACCTGAAAAGGAAACATTCAAAGCAGTCAAAAGCAGACACTGCCCTCAATGCGCCTTGTGTGGCTTCTAAAATGTTAACAGTTAGTACGAAACCTTTCAGTAACAGTGAAATAATAAGACAGTCTAAAGTTTGCAGGCGGCTCAAAATGCTTCTTTCTCTGATAAAAAAAATAAAATTAGTTTATCACGGTTCGCTGCTTGGAAAAAAAATCGAGTAACTATCAAACAACATGGTTTAAAAGCGGCGGCCGGTAATTTTCAATGGGCTCCTTCACAAAATGATAAAGATGCCGACGTGAGACGCCAAGCGCATCTGCTTTCATTCAAAGACCTAGAATCAAACTCAGTATAACAGTGGAATTATTGCTTTAAAGCCGATGAAAGGGGCACGAACCAAGTTGGAAAAGGAGTCATCTATGGCCAGAATGAACAACGACGTATCAGTGATTGTCACGAAAGACGTAAAGAGTGCAACAATAATTATTTCATCGTATTCCATTGTTCGTTACGTCAATAAATCCATACACGACATTAATATGAGCATTAATAACATCATACAAATGCCAGAGTTACGATCTGAAATATTCCACAACCAATTTCTTTGCAATAATTACGTTAGTGTCTTCCCATCGCAACCGACTACTACACAACTTCTGACTAGAAACAGCGTAGTTAAACAATCGAGACAGAGGTCTACATAACCTTCCATTCGAAGAATATCTTTCACGCACTTGATGAATTAGGACACACATTTGTCATTTTCCAACAGGTGATGAGTAATGAAGATTTAAAAACTTATAAATAGTACCTAATAACTACAATTGTCCTGGTTATGTAACTCTATACATTTTTTGTAAGATAAATACAGTGAATTGTAATTTATAACAATAAATAATTGCTATCAGCAATTACATGGAGTTCATACTACCACTTATAATCATGATGCATAATAAAAGCAGTCTCAGATAGTCGCGTCCGAAGATTCGAACCAAAGAATCTCAAAAATGCAAGTCACTACGTATCATGAAGTTGGACGGCACAATCTGTGTTTGTGGCCTACACAACTGAGGTTGGGAAACGTAAATCTAATGCCACATCGAATTACACTGAATTCAATGTACGTTGATTACCATGTTGTGTATAATACATCGCAGCGTGCTAAACTTAACACTGTTACATTTCAAGTGATGATCAGTGGTTTACAACAGGGATATCCAAACGACAGATACCTTGGCTGGCTAAAGACACAACAATACAGTAAGACAAAAAGACATGGCACAACAAAAACAATGAGAACACAACAAAAACAATGAGAAACACAACAAAAACACAAACACAAACTAAAATGTAAGTAATCAAACAGCTTTGTAAGTAATAAAATACAATACGCCAAAAACTGGGAGCAAACCATTCTTCGTCCACACAAGAAAGATCTGTAATCGCAGAATTTATAGGAAAAAAAAACAGATGCTTTTGAAAAATTATATACACAAATTTTATTGATAGAAGGAAAGCATGTTGCAAAGGGAAAATTTCACGCGTATCCTATAAATATGTTAAATTAATAAGACATAAACGTTTCGAAAACCCAATAACGTAGTCTGGAGGGCGTACAGTATTGAACTCTCGAAAGTTCTAACCCCTCCACAGGTGGAGTACTCGCATTGGATGGACCCCGTCCTAGCCTCCATAATTTCAAAATTATTTATCATTCGGAACAGGCCTGAGAAATTCGTATGTCAGCCAGTCCATCAATTCATTCAACTCTGTCAGCTAGTAAAAATAAACAAACAATCATCGTACTTACTTAATAAGACTTTCAAATCATCAATCCTATCACTTGCCGTGATCTCAGAATGAATAAATTGAAGGAACTACGCTTTTCCGATGGAAATGTCAGATATTTCTACGAAATGAAATAGGGCGGAAATTCTGTTCTGACGTGCATAACCGGAGAACCGCGTGTTTATTGGAGAACAAAATAATCTCCATGTTCACAAATATGTAAATACAAAAATCAAGTACAACTTACAGTCACGGGTAAATATATATTTCCACTTGGTATCATTAATAAACGTCATTATGAAATGCAGTGCTTTTACAAACCAATGACTGGCGAGGCAGATAATAAATGTGTACAAAGTTTTCGTTGGGAAGCCAAAAGGAAAGAGACCACTCACATGATCTAAGACTGGATGGAAGGGTAACATTAAAATTAATCTAAAGAAAATATGGATGGATGCTGTGGATTAGATTTACCGATGGTGGTCTCTTGTCAACACGGTAACAAACTTTCGGATTCCATAAAAGGCAGGGTATTGCATGACTAGATGTGAAGCATGTTCAAATAACGTATCTTGTTTTTTATGTACTCGTACAAAAGAAACATACTTTAATGTGAAGACATAATAATACTTCAACCCTTTTTAATTTTTTCTGTAATAAAGGTCTCCATAAAATATGTACTTCGTTGTTCAGCACAATAAACTCCTTGCTTCTAAAAAGAAATCTTGAAAAATGTGGGAAGAAGTGGTCGTGGCCTAGTTTAATATGTCTACCATGCCGGAATTTGCCTGGAGTGGCTAAAAAATTTCATGAACAGTCTCAGTCACTTTTACCCGAACTCATTAACATAGTCGTTTAATACTGACACACTAACCACGCTACAGATACCACATCTCACAGAGGCAGAAATTGTCTCCTCTTCTATGTTGCTAAATATTTATCAGATTTAAATATATTGTACTGTAGTTTCTAGATATTATATATATGTTATCGTATGTACCAGTATGTTGTAACATAGCCGTATTATAGAAGAAAACGACAGGGAGTCGAGAAATGGTCTAACACCTTCAGAATTTCACTGCATTCCCTCTAGTACTTTCGAAGACGAAATGCACATACTGATAGACACAATCTCTCACATTATGCAAATAATGCAACCCCCCAACTACACGTGTTTAACGTAGCTCGGTATGTTTCACTGCAGGGGAACATCATCAGGCTAATTCCTACCACATTGTAACTCACTGACTTACTCGGACATAATGCATGACGTGTAATTTAAATACTAACAAAGACAGAAAATTACAAAACTCACTATGTTTCGGAGGCTGACTTAGACTCCGTCGTCAGGTAAAAAACATGAGCCAGTAAATCAAAACTAATCTAAATAAAACGTCATATGAACGCTAATACACCAATGTGATTGAACTCCAGAATGCCAACCCTACCTTGTTGTTCCGGGACGAGAATTCTGGCTTGCGACATCTTGAGTACCAGCAAAAGGAAGATGACACGGATGAATAAAGAATTCAAAGAGTGTCTAGGAACTGTTCTTCCCACAACAGCAGATCGTGTTTCCTTCATACTTTTGAAAAAAGTCTTTGGTCTGCCTTTGTAAGTAACACACTTTATACACAACACACAGACACTGTAAAGCATATTTATTATGTACATTTTCAGCAAACTAAGTCTCTTGTAGCACAGCGTCCCTTGTTTTTATAACAGAAACTACGACACGCCAAGCTTCAAAACTGCCAGCACTCGGAACATCTAATCGTTCTGTCACATCCGCGAGTTGATGAGCATTGCTTTCAATTCGGAACAGCCGTACACAAAGTCATTTGACTAAACCGTATTATATAAAATGCATGTTCTAATCATATATATTCACTCTCAACTCAAATAATAATCCATACAGTTTTATAAACTGGCATGCTATTTTCACAAATTCCAAACACTGATGTCACACCTGATGTATGCTATTTTCACAAATTCCAAACACTGCTGTCACACCTGATGAGTTTCGCCTCCATCTCGATCGACTTTCTCACGACTCTCGAAAAATTAAATGGTTCTTCACCACCTACAGTTGAATCCAGGAACTACTCTTACATGCGTGAATCACGCACTATAAATATCTCAACACTGTTACAGCAAAAGAATCAACTAAACACAACAAAGTTCAAGTTACGTGCATGGTTCTAAAAATCAAAACGACGTGCTTCTGAACCGTGTACACATGTAAACAACTGTCGCTTTGATACGTGTTAATAACAGATGAAAACGAGCGGTTAATATATGTTTCAAGTCTTACAAATTAATTTTAAAATTATAAATTATAGCACCTGGTATTTTCCGCAAAAACCTCTACGCTACCACATTTTTAAATTCATACATTACGCAACGTCTGTTTATCCATACAGTCTTACTTCACATAAATCCATGAATGTTCTATTTCTGCTTGTTACTGTTCGCCGTCTGGTTAAGTGTCCTATTACCACGTAATGTGAAACACTCGGTCTGTTCCCATGCTTGAACGGCACTATTTATAACGTCGAAAGAGATGGAAGTTTCGACAAGAGAGAGCGAGAGGATGAGGGCGCACCTGACGCGCTCGCTACTCAAGAATCGTACGTAATCTTGCCCAAGACGAATAAAAATTGACGCACTAACGACAACGCAAAGCACTTCGAACAAGTGACTGAAACGGAATTGGCGCCAACTGAACTTTGCGTTGCGGATTTCTTCCCCCCACTAAGTGTCCCCTCCACTACCATTTCAGTACAAACCCCCCCTTCCCTTACCCCGCGATTCCCATTACACTCACAGATACAGGCCTCAACCCCCACCCCCCACCCCTCTGATGGTGTGACTGGCGCAGAAGCATTGATTCTGCGCAGAAGTGACTTCAGCAGTAGATACATAGGGAACAGTACCAATTGCAACAGTCCACAAAGGTTTATCGATAATTGTAGAGTAAAGTCAAAAATAATTTACCGTGATATGATAATCAAAGTTATATGCTACGCAAACAGTTTATTCATGGACGTAATACAAGCAAGAAAAATTCGCAACAGCTTACGGATAACACTAAAGACAGATAACTGCTTATATTTAATCGCCCCAAAAAATATTATACGCGGCGAGTAATATTACGAAGATGCACATAATATAATTTTACACAGCCATTTGTTACTTCCCCCCTCTTAGGTCAAATATTCTCCTGCCACCATTTTTTTTAAATAGGAATGCCCTCAATCAATGATTTTCCCTAAAGATGAAAGACCACTCACATAAAATACAACTAACCCTGTTATTTAACAAATTGCAAACAGAATCTTTAATAGAAATCTGAAGTTTTCTGACGATGGAGCATTATAATAATTAAAACTTTTTTTATGCTTCCTCTCTAAAATTCGTGAGAATTTACTGTGTCTTTCAAGTTTTTTTATTTAGTCTTCTGTCTGACGACAGGTCCATATGAACAGGATCCTTCCATCCTTTTCTCGGACTGGGACCTGTTCATATACGTTCTTGGCAGATGATCCAGAAGTGGTTTGCCATTGCCTTCTTCTGTGTGTGAATGGAGTAATTGTTGGGATGCCACGGAGAACCCGGGGAAGCCCCCGGAGGAAAACTCCGTGTTGCCTAGACCACGGCCTTGCCCAACACAAGTTATAAATTCGGGCACCGCCGGGAATCGAACCCGAGACATGTAAAATGTTCCTTCAGTTGAAAATAATATCAGGCGGGTTTGAACGCCTGTGAGAATCCGCGTTAAGCAGTAATCCCTTGCACGCCTTTCCGTTCACTGTGTATCTTTGGGTTCAAACGACAACTTCTGAGAACATAAAGTAACACAGAATGGAAATACAACTGAGACGGTGGAGAAACTTGTGTTCCTTTTACACAGACTACTCCGTTGGTTCTCTGCAGCACAACACAAAGCGGAAATAGTTACGTAATCCCATATAAATCCTTCTGGAAAACAGTAGTAAAGGGGAATATTATATTAAGTTAGGTTAGGTTAGGTTAGGTTTCCTATGTTAGGATTGATAGGGTTGGGTTGTTTACTGGAGAATTACTTGTGTGTCATTAGGTGATCCTGAGGTGCCCTGAATAAGTGCTGGAGAAGTCCTGGACAATTCCTGGAGCAATACTGGGGAAATTCTGGAAAAGTCAGAGGTCAGTGCCGGAGAACTCCATTTTAGGATTTACGTAAAAAATTTAGTCGTAGTGAAGTGCTGGAAAGTTCCTGGAGAAGTGCTGGAGAAATTTTGGAGAAGTCCTGGAAAGGTTCTGTGGAAGTACTTAGGCCGTGGGTTTGATCCTGTGTTGTCGGTTAGGTGGGATTAGTTGAAGTTAGATTGGAATAAGTTAATTTGGATTAGGTTGCGTTGTTGTGGGTTAGCTATGGTTAGGTAAGATTAGGTTAAGTAAGATTTGAAGTTTTCACAGCGGTGAGTATGAAGATTTCTGTCTTCTGGGTTGTTGCGGCTGTGTAGTCTGGTCGGTGTTAACCAACGTTTCAGAGGTCATTCTGCCTCCGTCATCAGGGCGATGAATTAGTATGAAGATTTCTGTCTTCTGGGTTGTTGCGCTGTGTAGTCTGGTCGATGTTTACCAACGTTTCGGAGGTCATACTGCCTCCGTCATCAGGGCGATTAAAAATATGAAGATTTCTGTCTTCTGGGTTGTTGCGCTGTGTAGTCTGGTCGATGTTTACCAACGTTTCAGAGGTCACAGGGCGATTAAAAATATGAAAATTTCTGTCTTCTGGGTTGTTGCGCTGTGTAGTCTGGTCGATGTTTACCAACGTTTCAGAGGTCATACTGCATCCGTCATCAGGGCGATTAAAAATATGAAGATTTCTGTCTTCTGGGTTGTTGCGCTGTGTAGTCTGGTCGATGTTTACCAACGTTTCAGAGGTCATACTGCATCCGTCATCAGGGCGATTAAAAATATGAAGATTTCTGTCTTCTGGGTTGTTGCGCTGTGTAGTCTGGTCGATGTTTACCAACGTTTCAGAGGTCATACTGCATCCGTCATCAGGGCGATTAAAAATATGAAGATTTCTGTCTTCTGGGTTGTTGCGCTGTGTAGTCTGGTCTTCTTTCCATATCTCTTTGAGTACATGAACCGCAATAATCCCACCATTCGACATTATATAACTAAAGAAGTTATAAAACTTCGTGGAGTGAACTCAACCAAAACTCAATCAGCATCGCGGCTTAATTAACCTTCTGTGTACACGCGGAAATCACACCATAAAACACAAGATGTTGTTAACTGTCGGTCTTCGAAAATTATCCAACACTCATCATGATCACATTAAAGGCCAACATCGACACCCTCAATCTAAGTTCTCCCCGAGGGGCGAAAGCCCAACTTTTACATGCACATTTACTGTAATGATCTATTCTAAAACACAGGATTTTAACACTTTCGAGATTGTCGCGTTACACTCAACAGACGCCCAGAAGGCTATCCCATAAGACCTCAATCAACAGGAACAAGAGAGTCAAACTTCGCACGCTATTATTTAGCTTTCGTTCTTAATAGCAAAGTCCAACAAATCAATACCGAAAATCTTTGTTTTATTCTCGAATTCAAATTATATTATTGTGTCTGGAGGTCAAACGGGTTCTTGCAGCAAATCTGTTTTGCTCAAACGTTTTAAGACGTAAGTTAACTATTCTCATTTAAGCCAAAGTCCGAAGATCAATTTTGTTTGTTTCATGATAGTTATGGCCAGAAGTTCGAGGGAGGTTCCAAAGGCTGGGCTGTCATTTTGTGACGCTGATATTGATGGAGTTGACACACGACAATGCAGTAGCCCGTGAGGAGTCGTAGAAACCTCCGATGAATGTCAGCACGCATCAACGAATGAAGATAAATGACTATCACTAACTAATATCACCAACACGGTTTTAAAACTCATCTACATTACCCCGTTTTCTATACCGGAGAGCATGATATTCGGTTTTTTTTCTGAATTTATATCAGGGAGGAGACGTACTTTTATGCAATATTCAATACATTTTCGACTCAACTTTACTTTTATATCACGCACGCAAGTATTTCAATATGTCCTTGGCGCGCCATGGAAGAAATCACACTTTCATTCTCAGTTTTACAAAAAGGAAACAATAATATAAAAGATAATACAATATTAAGAATAAAACACTTTATGTTTTCTGTGTTCTATTTACGTTTAAGTCTTACATACATATGGTACATACAGATAAACACCATCTTACTTCCATTTCCATAGTCGACTTAAAGCTAAGGAGATAAATTTTTGTGCATATAATTTTTATACACTCTGCAATTCATTCAAAAGTTTTAATACATTATTATGAAGCAGGCCGGAACATCTATCATTTTATGGAATATCTGTGTACTATTTCGCAATTTAACTTCAGAGAAACAGGCCTATGGCCTAAACCATGGTGTTGGTACAATAAATGGCATTTTATCGTTAATTTTTGATAGAAATGCCTTTCTACACAAACTTTTACGGCTGTCTATGAAGAAAAGAATTGCCTGAGACACATTATCACTTTGACATGAACAGCAACACTGTACGAGGTCTAATGATGAATTTTCGTGACTGGTATACAGGGAGAAAAAATAAAGGCCGGCCTTCCTCAAAGTGAGAAAAACACTCAAACGTTTCCGAAACATTTATCCTGAAATGTAGTTTCTAATATTTAGTGAGCTTATTCTGAAATATAACACAGAAGTTAATCGACAAAGTTTCTCCTTCGTGTCAGCCATGCAACAAGGTTTTATACGTCATTATTATCATCCAAGGACTCTTATTGAAACGTTACGGTCTCAGCTATCCAAAAGTCTTTTTATTCTTCTTATTTGTTTTTTAGGTTTAAGTCCAACGAAATCCATTCACATAAAAGTTACATTTTCAAAATGCTAAAAGAAAGGAAACAAATCAGCTTCCAAAGCAACAGTCGGAATGCTTGCATTCAGAACTACAGCAGATATGATATTACACATAAATCCGAAATTAACAGTAATATTAATTTTATAGGGCCCCTCTCTTGAATTCCTTTTTAATTATTATTCCTACAACCACTAAATAAAAAGTTCATTTACATGCGTGAATATTAATTAAATGTGTACTGCTGACAAAGCTGTAAATGGCGTGTCGACAAAGCATCCCAATAACTACGAACCGCAGTAACATAATCAGCCACAAGAAGAGCCATCATATTGACGGCAATCATTAGAGTAAAACTACAGAGCAGTTAGAAAACAGAATACCCAGTTCACGCTTTCAGAGTGCAGAAGTATGTCCCGTATAATGCATTCTGCAAATTTCTCAAATAACATGCATCATTTTACAGTCACGTTTTCTCCAGAGATGGCTGTCTTCTGAGTAGTAATAGTAGTAATAAAATTTCAAAAGGGCAATATTCATTAAAAAATCAACCCACTGATTCATTTTTTCAGTCATTCATCATCAATCATTTATTAGATCAGTGGTATTCAACCTTTTTTGTTCGCGTACCCCCAGATATAATTTATCTTCAACTTTGTACCCCCAAAGTTGTTGGTGTATAATTCAAGTTATACATAGTATATAATCCACATCTAAAATAAATTAAATAAATTACATTACTGATTATTTAGTGTTTATCATAAAATAATATATGTTTTTTTTAAATTTCACGTGCCCCCTAAGATGTCTTAGCGTACCCCCGGGGGTACGCGTACCC